GATCAAGCAATTTTTGGCTGAGTCCAACAGATCCAGTATGTTGTTCATACGTCTAAAACGAGTTATTATTATTATTATTTATAGATACTATAATATGATTATATGTTTGAAAAATCAGTTGATATGTGCAACTAATTGGTTGAGGATCATATGTGTAGATAATTGGTTGGTGATTGTATGTGTGAATAGTTGTTTGATGATATTATACGTGAATATTTGGTATTCATTTGCTGATGATTTTTAGGATTGATAGTTATCATGTAAAGATGATTTTTGTGTGTTTGATTGACTTCTCGTGGGATGCATGTTATTATTTTTAAGTTTCCAATTATTTCTTAAGAAAATGGTAGTTATATTTTTGGAATTTTATTTCATTAAAAATTTAATCCGTTAACAGTATAATCTAGATGGATCTATCAGTTGTATATTGATTCCTCAAAAAAAATCATAATAATATATAGATAATTGTATATTGATTCTAGGAGCAGATGGATTTATTTTCTTCTTTTATAAAAAGATATGGTCTTTTCTCAATTTGAAGATCTTTGCTAAGGTTAATAGCTTTTTTCACCGTGGAAAAATCCCTAAAGGGATTTATAATAGTCATGACTATATGATTTTATCAACGCTGAAAATTTTCAATATATATTTTTAATTTTAGGATATTTTTTTTTGTAAAGAATCTTTTCATCATCACAAGTTCTCATAATTTCCAACATGTATATTATTAGGCAAAGCTAATCTTGTAATTCTTCTCTCGGCAATCCTATCACAGATGCCATTAGTCGAAGCTAATCTTATAATTTATCTCCCAACAATTTTATTAGAGATGTCATTAGTTGAAGCTAATTTTATAAATATGTCAGATTTTATTTACATTGAACATGAAATTATTGTCATTGCATTCACTAAATAAACTTTAAATTACATAAGAGCAAAGAGTAGGGAAAATCACGCACCTAATCCACCTATCTCATAACCTCCTCCAACAGAAGATGTAATCCTAGTCGCTTTTTCTGAATCACAAAAAAATCTTTGGTCATGATTCCTTCAAATCAAATATTATAGAGAATTCATATTCATTCATTACACATATATTGTTTTCTATGCATGTTCATTTCGTTATCATAACATACATATAAATATAATGTAAATTTTAAAAGTTAATATATCAACGTGTAAGTATCCACACGACTATATATGTAGTATTCATATGAAATTCTAACTATTATTGTGTAAGTCGTGAACTGTTACTATATGATCTATTGTTATTTTAGACTTGAACCATTACTATTTGATCTGTTGTTCTCTTAGATCTGAATTGTTATTATTTGATATGTTATTGTCTTATACTTGAATCGTTACTATCTTACATATCTCACCTTTTATAACAATCATGTTAAATTCATGGATTTTAGTCACTAATTTAACATTTTTCAAGAATTATTAGCTTCTCATAACTCCAATAAATATAGAATCTAATAAGGACAAGTAATTAATTATATTCCTTATCAAACATCTATTCCTTCTTTGATTTTCATGATAATAATACTTCACACAATCTAAAAAATCAACACAAGTGCTCCATGAAATTTAAAAAGTTGTAAAGAATATTAAAAAAAAGTTTTATTGCCTATATTATTCATCAATTCACATCATGAAATATAAAGCATTAACAGGGTAGCATAAAACAAGATTGAAAGACTCTTGTCATTGGCTGACCACTAGCTTTTATTAATTATTTTTTTTATTTTAATTACAATAACTTAATCACTTTACTCTAACTTTTACATTATTCTCCATGACAATTTACATTAAATTTTTATTTCCCCCAAGTCCATTCGAGAATCCTAACTTTTCAAATTTTAAAAATTCAATCACTTAAGTACTTTAAACCATTAAAATCAGATCAAAAGTCTTTAGAATGCCTTACCAAATAAATAAATAAACTCTAAACACAATCCAATTCAAGCTTCCAACTTCTCTTCTTCTTTAATTTTAGTCGAACTTCCACTCTCCTTTTCTATTCACCTTCACTTGATTTTTCTTTCTTACAATTAATGCTCATTAAGCTTGGTTAATATTCTCTTGAGATCTCCTTTTAAGATTTTATGTTTCCTTTACCATTTAGTCTCTCTCATATGTAAATGGTAGTTTCCTCTTCTTTTTTTTCTTATATATATCAACTTTTTACCAAATTCCCTCTATATCCCAAATAGTAAATGTCTTGTTTCCAAGATAAAATTCATGGATCATGGTATTTTTCTATATAAACTTTTTACCTGGGTGAATTTGAATTTTATTTAGTTATATATTGATAATTTTATTTCCAGGTAACTTACAGTAATATTTTATTTACTTTTCTATATTTATTTATTTATTATACTTCTGATAAATCTATTTTATGAGTATTTAGATTACTTTTCTACCTAATTTTCAACTAGAATTTACAGGATTAGTTCCTCATTTGTTATGATAATTCCAAAAAAAGGATCTCCAAGAAGTTTTTCAGAGTTTAGATCAATCAGTTTCATCTATGAATTGCATAAAATTATAGCAAAATTATTATCTACCAGATTTAAATATCAGCTTACTAATTTTATCATTGTCTCTCAGACTAGTTTTATTGTAGGAAGATAGATTTTAGATGGGTTCATGATTGCCAATAAAATGGTTTATAGAGTAAAAAATAAAGGGGATCATAAATTTTTTTGTTCAAAGTAAATTTTTATAAGACCTTTGACTCGATCTTGTGAGACTATTTGTATGATGTTATGGTCTAAAATGGCCATCCTTATTATTGGGTCACCAAGCAAAAAATTTAGTCTTCAGATGAGTTTTTTACAGGGGGATCTTTTATCCCTATTTTTTTTTATATAACAGTTGAAGGTTTTTTTGTTTTTTTTAGTAAAGCTGCAAATACTAGGTATTTTAGCGGTTTGAAGGCAAATGGTAACATGCCTTTATCTCTCCTTCAATATGTAAATGACACTTTTATTCTTTAATCGAATAATTATGGTTCCTTTTGAAATGTTAGAGAATCCTTCACTAGTTTGCTCTTATATCTAGCTTTTAGATTAATTATTTCAAAATTTCTTTAATTGAGATTAATTTAAATGATGATTATGTCTCAGGGATAATTGTAAGTTTTTTTTTTTTTTTTTATCATAATGCTACTTTTCTAGAAAAGTATTTGAGGTTGCCTCTACTTGCTAATCCTTGTTGTTTATCTACATGGAAACTGGTCATTTTCAAAATCAAGTCCAGATTAGCTTCAAGGAAAGGTAAAATGTTAAGCGTAATTATTGTATTTGCCTAATAAAATCAATATTGAATTCTATTCTCTCGATTACTATAAAGAAAAATACGGTAGTTGTCAAATATGCTGTGTATGCACACATTTTCATCAATTTGGTTGCAATTAAATATTTGTGACATTGTTTTTAAATGCAAACAAAACCGATTAAAAAAAACTGTTTTTCTAAATAAAACACAAAATTCAAAGATCAAATTTATTGACCATGACAATCATTCTTAATACATAAATTGCTACCATTTTATAGAATCATAAGCAAAAACAATGGAAAACTATTCTTCTTTTTTTTTCGAGATTGCTTACGGGAAAGTTTAAAACAATTGATTCATGACATGTTGCCCATCATATCTTCAATTAGACGACCCAATGAAGAAAATGAAGATCCTCCACCCACCAAGGTTTGTTCACTTATTCTACTCATCTCCTTTACCTTCT